CTAGAAATGCGATTAAGAAATCTGATAAAGACGCTGGATTTTAGCTCAGCAATCAGATTTCTGTACACTTTTTCTACATTTTCTATGCACTTCAGTGCATGTAAACTCTTACTCTGATTTCTTTCGGATTTCTCATTTGGCACATGTGTGAAAACAGGCTGTGGTACCGGAAATAAGAGACGCCTCGAGACGCAGCAAAACACTTTTGGAGCGATGCTGAAACCAAATACATGCTTGACGAAATAAAGGATTTAAATATTCTTCATCTTCTAGATTATGATTGTTTATAGTTTCAGATATGAAGCATGAAGTTTGAGTTTTACGTTACGTTTACATCACATCTTGTTCTGTGAGTTGGCTCTTTGGCTGGTTGTAAAGCAGAAATCTAAGTTACTGTCTGACTCATGTAGACCGGGAGTTTCCCCATTATCTGATTACTCACGTGCATGTAAACAAGTTTTTCGGATTACTGACAAAATCAGATTTTCTGCAGTTATCGGATTATTAAGTGCATGTAAATGTAATGTAAAACTCAAACTTTTTTAAAAAACATTGCGCCACTTTACCTGAAAATATGAACATACATCATCTAGAAGATGAAGAATATTTAAATCCTTTATTTCGTGAACGATGTGTTTGGTTTCAGCGTTGCTCCACAAGTGTTTTGCTGCGTCTCGCGGCAAATTATTTCCGGTACCGCCGTCTGTTTTCGCGCATGCACAGTCTGAGATATCTGAAAGAAATCAGAGTAAGAGTTTACATGCACTGAGAAATCCGATTGCTGAGCTAAAATCCAGCGGATTATTGGATTCCGATTTCTTAATCAGATTTCAAAACCTCACTCTAATCTAAGAACTCAGAGTGTGATGTTCACATGACTATTTGGACAATCTGATAACTGCAGAAATCTGATTATGGTCGGATTATTGAGTGCATGTAAACACACTCATTGTTCATGTCGAGTACAGCACCGAAAATGTCTCCATTAGAGGTTTGATTCCACTGGAAATCATGATGAGTCAGCAAAATGAGTGACTAGAATGTGCTTTGTTTTGTGTTATATGAATAAAATCAATTGAAAAAAGAATACAGAAAAACAACAGGAGCAGAAAGGGGAGTTCCTGCGAACACGCCAACGCCACCTGTAGACTGTTTGAAAATACAGCTAAAGTGTCAAAACATGGTTAAAAAAGTGGAATTCATTGCTTTGGACCACCAGCCGTTCTCTGTAGTCAAAGAGTTTGTGGCACATGCTGCAGCCTACATACTCTAATCATTTTAATAAGTCAATTTTATGTGACTTGATTTTATTTATTGTCAGCTTTTTTGGTTTTTAGCCCGGAATTTTCATTTCAGCGCATCACCAGGCAGTGTAGGCACTGTCACTTTACTGACCCTTATCACTTTATTGACTGTGTTGACCATGTCAAACGTGTTTACTGGATGCGAGTATGTGTGCAGGTATCACTCTCCAGTATGTATGTAGTACCGTTTAATTCTGTTCAGCAGTCGCTACTTTTTCTGTTGTATTATTGAAGTCTGTTGCAATAACAGGTAAGTAAGATGTTCATTGCACTTTGCGCACATGACAATAAAGAGCTTTGATCTTGACCTTTGATCTCAGAAGTTTCACCACAGATCTGCCAAATGGCAGAGATTGCCAATAATGCCATGCTGGGAAATGCGCTCTATAATTTTTTAAATCAAAAACACGGCCTGATAAACTTCCTTCACTGTTAAGGCTAGGGGGCAGCGTGGAGCCTCCTGATTTTCTCTGTCTTTTAAAGAAGGAGCACAGCTTCGCTCCAGAATCCTACTGTTTACTGCTTCATGAAAGGTGTAATATTTTCAGTGGAAATTTTAAACTGTTTCAGTCTCTCATTTAGCATATTTCATGGAAAACACTGTTAATGATCAAAGCTAGGCATCCGGGGTTAGTCTATCAAGAGTAAAACGGGTGGAGGGTGGGGTGTATCTTAAATGACTGGGGTTTTTGAATCACTTATGAATTCTGAGGGTTAGTTAAAAGGCTAACGTGGCTTCTTTTTAAGAACTTTTATTTTTCTGAGTCAACCCAGTCTGTGTAGTATACAGTTAGAGCTCTGCACAATCAAGATGTTTTTAACATATAAAAGAAAATTTAATCTTTTGAAGAGGGGTGGGCTTAGAAAAAGAAGGGTTGAATTAGAAGAAGAGGGGTGGAGTTAGGAAAGGATGGGTGCAGGTAGAGGGAGAAGGGTGGAGTAGGAAGAAGAGGGGTGCAGTTAAAAGAAGAGGGATGCAGGTAAAAGAATGGTGGAAGTAGAAAAAGATGGGCACATGCAGAAGTAGAGGGGTGGAGTAAGAAGAAAAGGAGTGCAGGTAGAAAAAGAAGGATGGAGTTAGAAGAAGAGTACAGTTAGAAGAGGAAGAGTGGAGTTAGAAAAAGATGGATATAGGCAGAAGAAGAGGTTTGCAGGTAGAAGAAGAGGGGTGGTGTTAGAAGAAGAGAAGTGCAGGTAGAGAAAGGGTGGACTTAGAAAAGCATGGGTACAAGTAGAAGAAGTGGGGTGCAGGTAAAAGAAGAAGGGGGGAGTAAGAAGAAGAGAGGTGGAGTCAGAATAAGAGGGATGCAGGTAGAAACAGAAGGGTGGAGTAAGAAGAAGAGGGGTGCAGGTAGAAACAGAAGGGTGGAGTAAGAAGAAGAGGGGTGCAGGTAGAAAAAGAAGGGCGGAGTAAGAAGAAGAGGGATGCAGGTAGAAAAAGAAGGGTGGAGTAAGAAGAAGAGAAGTGGAGTAAAAAGAAAAGAGGTGGAGTAAGAAGAAGAGGGGTGCAGGTAGAAGAAGAAGGGTGGAGTAAGAAGAAGAGAGGTGGAGTAAGAAGAAGAGAGGTGCAGGTAGAAAAAGAAGGGTGGAGTAAGAAGAAGAGAGGTGGAGTAAGAAGAAGAGGGGTGCAGGTAGAAACAGAAGGGGGAGTAAGAGAAAGGGTCAGGTAGAAAAAGAAGGGTGGAGTAGAAGAAGAGAGTGGAGTAAAAAGAAAAAGGTGAGTAAGAAGAAAAGGGGTGCAGTAGAAGAAGTAGGGTGGAGTAAGAAGAAGAGAGGTGGAGTAAGAAGAAGAGGGGTGCAGGTAGAAGAAGAAGGGTGGAGTAAGAAGAAGAGAGGTGCAGGTAGAAAAAGAAGGGTGGAGTAAGAAGAAGAGAGGTGGAGTAAGAAAAAGATGGGCACAGGCAGAAGTAGAGGGGTGGAGTAAGAAGAAAAGGAGTGCAGGTAGAAAAAGACGGATGGAGTTAGAAGAAGAGTACAGTTAGAAGAGGAAGTGTGGAGTTAGAAAAAGATGGATACAAGTTTAACAAAAGGGTTGCAGGTAAAAGAAGAAGGGTGGAGTTAGAAGAAGAGAAGTGCAGGCAGAGGAAGAGGGGTGGAGTTAAAAGAAGAGGGATACAGGAAGAAGAATAAGAGGTGGAGCTAGAAAAAGATAGGTGCAGTTAGAAGACAAGGGGTGGTGTAACACGAAGAGGGGTAAAGGTAGAAAAAGAGGGGAGTTAGATAAAGATGAGTGCAGGTAGAAGAAGAAGGGTGGAGTTAGAAAACGATGGGTACCGGTAGACGAAGAGGGGTGGAGTTAGAAAAAGATGGGTGCAGGTAAAAGAAGAGGGGTGGAGTTAAAAAACGATGGGTACAGGTAAAGGAAGAGGGGTGGAGTTAAAAAACGATGAGTGCAGGTAAAGGAAGAGGGGTGGAGTTAGAAAAAGATGGGTGCAGGTAGAAGAAGAGGGGTGGAGTTAGAAAAAGATGGGTACAGGTAGAGGAAGAGGGGTGGAGGTAGAGAAGGGGTGGAGTTAGAAAAAGATGGGTACAGGTAAAAGAAGAGGGGTGAAGGTAGAAAAGGGGTGGAGTTAGAAAAAGATGGGTACAGGTAGAGGAAGAGGGGTGGAGGTAGAGAAGGGGTGGAGTTAGAAAAAGATGGGTACAGGTAAAAGAAGAGGGGTGCAGGTAGAAAAGGGGTGGAGTTAGAAAAAGATGGGTACAGGTAGAGGAAGAGGGGTGGAGGTAGAGAAGGGGTGGAGTTAGAAAAAGATGGGTACAGGTAGAGGAAGAGGGGTGGAGTTAGAAAAAGATGGGTGCAGGTAGAGGAAGAGGCGTGCTACAGGTAGAGGAAGAGGGGTGGAGTTAGAAAAAGATGGGTGGAGTTAGAAGAAAGGATTGGGGTAGAAAAGGGGTGCGTTAATGAAGAAGAGTAGTGTTGGAAGAAGAAGGTGGAGTCAGAAGAAGGGAGTGTGGTTATACGAATGGGGATGAAGCTGTCTAGGTGGGGTTCAGCCCACAGAAGGGGCTCATACCCATGAAAACGTCTGGGTTTTATGATCGGTTCTAAGACGTATAGAGGGAGAGCCCTTAATGGCCTCGATGCCTCGTGTTTACACGATACATTGGATCAGCTCACTCGATCTGTAGCAGCGCTGCGAGGGACTTTTCTTAACCCGCAGATAAAGCCTGCTCTTTATCTGTGTTTATCGCTGCTCAAATGGTCCTTTAGCCTGAGAGAAGTCTTAATGCAGGTCCCAGAAGCTTTTACTGAATCTGATCCGTTAAGGTCGGCGTAAATGCCGCATACCTCGTTCCTCCGGTGGGACCGTTTTAACCGTTACGCTGCCTGAGTGCTTCCTGTCACTAGACTCCTTAGATAAGGCCGTGCCAGTGTGGGCGTTGGAGGGAGCTGCCCTTTTGTTCTGATCTGGGACCGTGGACACGTCCAGGAGCTGTAGGCGGATGTAATGGATACACGCCGCCCTGTGTTGCTAATGTGAAACCCCCTAAAGCGAAGGAATGAGGGTCCTGATCTAGGAACAGCAGGTCCATTATGGTTAATATAGTCATGTTCATTAGAAAAAAGAAGGCAGGCGCATAATTTTACATTCCTCGAGTTTTTTTGTGTGTGAATATCTCGTGTTTTATAAGCCCACCCTCAGCCTCTGTATGTAAACACAGTGTCTGTTTGTGTGTGTGTGTTTGTGTGTGCAGGTAGAGGAGGGCGGCAAGGCAGGGCTGCTAGAGTGCCCCCTGCTGGTGGGAGACGAAGTGATCATCATTAACGGAGTGGAGCTGAGTGGTTTCAGACAGGAGGCCATCTCTCTGGTCAAAGGCTCTTACAAAACACTGCAGCTCACCGTCCGCAGGTACGAACGCACTACCTGAGACACGCACACAATATCCTTCAGACATCCGTTCATTTGAATATTTTTGGCCATTGTTATTATTATTATTTTTTTTTTTTTCAATTTTTGAGTGATGGGGGGAGAGGGGCAGCCATCCCACCCACCCAGAGAGAGCGAGGCCAGTTGTGCTCTCTCGGACTCCTGGCTACGGATGGCTGTAGCACCACCAGGGATCGAGCTCGCGATCTCCTGATGATAGGGCCAACACTTAGACGGTTGCGCCACTCGGGAGCCCTTGGCCATTGGTTTTGGCCAATTTTTACACTTAGACCAGATGTAGTTGATCAGTCAAGGCATGTGAGGTGCCCAAATTTTGCTTTTTTAATTGAGTGGTGGGGCTACGAGGCTGACGTTGCTAACAAACAGTAGGAGTCTATAGTCACCCAAATCTTAAATACATCCTCAAGACTTCTCTCCACTTGCTCAGACCTTGTATCCCTGTCAAGATTGTAATCTGTAGCATCCATATGCCGGCATGACACACAAAGCAGAAAGGGATTCTGCAAGGCTCTAAATTACACTAGAAGTCAATAGTCACCCAAAACACCTGTTATCTAAAACAGTAGTGTGTGCTGTTCTGTTCATTTTGATAGTTTACAGTAAGTCATACTGTGTCCTAAACCACCTCGACAAGTCTGTGTGACCATAATGAAGTCCTGGATGCGGTTTGACTGGGTTTAGAGAGGTTTCGGGCCTCTATTTATAGAAAAGAGTTTGGGTGACTATTGACACCTAGTGTTGGTCAGCAGCTTTAGTCTCATAGATCCAGTTTCAGACTAAAGAAGGAAAATTCGGACACCAGACATGTCTTGGCTGATCGACTGCATCTGGGGTAAGTGGAAAGTTGAGTACATCTGATTTTTTGCCAAACCATTCCTGTAACCTCAGAATTCACACGACTATACTGATGCGATTAGCATTGATTTTCACTGAGTGTTGAGTTTGTTCTGCTCAAACCACTCTGGCTTTATCACACCTGAGCTGCAGGTGCAGACATTTGAAACAGTCCAGTCATGGTAGCTGGCAGTAGCGCAGCTCTGCCTGCAGGGGGAAGACTGTGTAGAGTTTAATCCTCAGGAACATGCTGCAGAACAAAGAGAGAATGTGTGGTTTGTGCATGTGCGTGTGTCAGCGGGGGGGAGGTCTAAAAATGAGGAGGTTTTCTGGGGACAGAGATAATATGTAATTAAAGTGGGTGAATCTGGGACATGGACTGCAGAGAGACCTCTTTGTCACGTAATACTAATACCCCCCCGTAACCCACACACCCGCCAGACCCCCACTTACAAGCACACGCACTTTTTTACTGTACACATTTACAAAGTAAGAAGTTTTCTGAAGCATTGTAATGGTTATGGTATTGTTCTGTGAATCACTGTAATGATTCTGATTCTTCTGTGAGTCATTTTAATGATTTTGGTGGTTCTGTGAAGCATTTTTTCTTATTCTGATTATTTTTTTGAGAATTTTGGTGCTGGTGAATCATTGTGGTGGTTCTAGTAGTTCCTTTGAACACTTTGTTGATTCTCATGGTTCCTTGATGAATCATTGCTTTGATGATTCTGATGATTTTAGTGATTCTGGTGGTTATATGAATCCTTTTAATGATTCTGATGGTGCTACGGAGCATTTTGATGACTATGATGGTTGAAAGTTTCTGATGATTTTATGAATCATTATTCTGATGATTATTTGGTGGATTGCGATGATGATGATGGTTCTGTGAATCATTTTAGTGATTCTGGTGGTTCTACGAATCATTTTGATGATTCTGATGGTTCTGTAGGGCATTTTGATGACTATGATGGTTGAATGACTGATGATTCTATGAATCATTATTTTGGTGATTCTTTGGTGTATTTTGATGATGCTTGTGGTTCTGTGAGCCATGTTGATATTGATGGTTCTGTGAATCATTTTAATAATTCTGGTGGTTCTGTGAATCATTTTGATGGTTCTGATTATTCATTGGAGCCTTTTGATGATGCTAGTGTCTCTTCAAAGCCTTTTTATGATTCGGATGGTACTTTAAAGCCTCGTGTATGGTTCAGATGGCTCTATGAAGAATTTTGATGATTGTGATGGCTGTGATAGTTCTTTAACATGTTATGATTGGTGGATGGGAGCTATGAAGTTCTTTAAAGCATTGCGATTGGTGGATGTGGTTATGACTGCAGACCTTTGAGGTCAGGTAGCATCGTTTCTGTACTTGCATACTTGAACACACACATTCCTTACATGCAGGCAATCACACACACACATACACACACTTTCCTTCTCCCTGCTCTCGTTCTCTCTCTTTATCCATCTGTCGATTGTCTGTCTTTCTCTCTCAATCTCTCACTCACAGACACTCAGACCTGGCCTTTCTCACGCTGAGGAGCATAGTGATAATGGCAGCCATTGTGTGATACTTGCCTGGATGGGTGGGTGTTGGGGGGTTAACAGGGCTTCAAGTCCAGGGACTAGAGGGACAAATTGAGTGAATGAGTGAGAGAGAAATAGAGAGGGTGTGAGATATTCGGTAAAATTGAATGTTGGCCTAAGCTTAGCAGACCTTTAGTACAATAAAGAGAGATAATGAGAGAGGAAGGCAGCCAAGCTGACAGAGAGACAGACCAACAGACAGAGAGACAGACAATGCGTCCATAGTAGTGCTATAAAGAGGAGGTGGGATTGAGACGGATGCTGATTTGCATATGAGTCCGGAGGTCATGTCCCGAGGGAAGGTGCACATGACAGCGCAGTCCTAAACTCACACTCACACACACACACACACACAGTGGTCACTGCATGCTTCAGGCTTGTCCATGTACTGGTAGCAGAATCCTCTTACTCAGGTAAACGTGAGGAAAATAACTGTGGAAAATGGTTAAACTGGGTTTGGAGGCTTTTTTTTCTTTTGCTTTACCTTTTGTTCGACGAACATCAAGCTTCTGCTCACATACTGTCACTTTCCCTGCTCTCCAGTCTGGAAGAAGAGTGCTATTATTATTACTATTATTATTATTATTATCTCTGTAAGTAGAGTACCGTTCAAGTTTTAGGCACCTGAGGAAATTATATGCGAGAAGCTATTTTTCTGGGCAGTGAACATTTTTTGCAAACGTCAGAATAAAAAAAACAAGTAATGTTGTCATATAGACCGATCAGGCATAACATCATGACCACCTCCTTGTTTCTACGCTCATTGTCCATTTTATCAGCTCCACTTACTATATAGGTGCACTTTGTAGTTCTACAGTTACAGACTGTAGTCCATCTGTTTCTCTGCATACTTTGTTAGCCCCCTTTTACCCTGTTCTTCAGTGGTTGGACCCTCACAGAGCAGGTACTATTTGGGTGGTGGATCATTCTCAGCACTGCAGTAACACTGACGTGGTGGTGGTGTGTTAGTGTGTGTTGTGCTGGTCTGAGTGGATCAGACACAGCAGAGCTGTTGGAGTTCTACAATTACAGACTGTAGTGCAACAGATGGACTACAGTCTGTAACTGTAGAACTACAAAGTGCACCTATATAGTAAGTAGAGCTGATAAAATGGACAATGAGCATAGAAACAAGGAGGTGGTCATAATGTTATGCCTGATCGGTGTATGATATAATAATAGTGTCGTACTGCTACTGATGTCAGTAATGTCGATACTGGCACTTAAAAGCAGTATTGGTATCAGCAATAGAGAATACGTATACCATAATAACTCAGCAGTGACTGAGTGACACATCTTTGGGCGCCGGCAGATGGACCTTAACTGAAGCAACACGTCGGTGGTGTGAGATTAGTTCACGTAGAAAAAAAGTGCTCAATGCAGAATCTTTAACGCCAGTGTTTCAAGGGGAGGCGCTGGCAGTGGCCAGTATACCAGTTGAAATTCTCCCGAAGGTATTGCCCACAAATAAGTGCAGATAACAGAAAGTACATACTGAGCAAATCACGCCAATGTTATCTCTTTTTAGCTGAATATCTGAGTCAGGAACCTTTTATCACTCTTCTCCTGCTGTGGAGTCACAGTCGGAGTTGATGTGAGTCCAGGTTGTTATCGAGGAGGTGAACATTACAGAGATATATAGATGGTGGTGTTTTCTTTAGCCCAGCCTGCAGTGTGCCTCGATTGGTCAGCCTCCATCATTCAACGGTTAGCCGCTGCTACTGACAGCTTGTGAATGACAGTTGTACTTACTTATATCCAGAGTCTGATGCTTGGAGAGAGATATAAGCCCATATGTATGTGTGTGTATATATATATATATATATACATACACACACACACACACACACATATATATATATATATATATATATGTATATATATATATATATATATATCTGGTGTATTACCTACTTCTATAAGTACGTGATTTGTTGCTGCAGTAAAATGAATTGAGATTTTCTGAACTTTATGCAGATGAATTTCGACGGGGCAAAAAACCTACCAGCATTTTGTTTCTATTCCCAACCGTATCATGCAAAAAAGGATCTATAACTGTGGTTAATGTTTTAAAGAAAACTATGATACCTATATATATAGGATATTTCTTATCAGGAGCTGGACAGTGTACAACAACAACAGGAGTGGCCTCGTGCGCACTCACAAGAGACAAACGTGGGGCGAGGTTAGTGATTTGTTGCCTTCAGATGTGACTGTATGGTCAGTGTAATGTGATGTTAACTCTGTTAAGTTGTATACAAGCACAGACTGTGTGAAAATCTCACAGTCGCCAACACACACACACACACACACACACACACACACACACACACACAGAGCAGCTAGCTTCAGCAAACAGCCCGCGCAACCCAGCAACGGTCTCCACGCGGCCCGTGACGTCATCGTTCCCCTCTTCTGAGGAGTTACACAAGGGTGGACTTAGGACTCACCATTCTGGGAAGGAGAAGGAGGAGGAGGTGCACGTGAAGAGAGGTCCGGACAAGACAGACACTTTCTAACGTTCACGCTTCTGC